TGCGCCATTTATTATGTATTACTATTATTTTTCATTTCATGTATCGTACACTTATAAGTATTTTATATCTGTATACTCCAAAACGAAGATGGAAGGGATAATAAAAAATATTTTACACGTTTATATCCTTATGTAGATATATATTTTTTATATATGTAGAATAAAAAAAATACATGAATCAAAATTATATCAAATCACATTGTTTTTATGTATCCAAGAATTGTGCGATCCATCGAATCCCAGCCACTTGACGTACACCTTGTGCCCCTTCCTGCGCAGTAATTTTTCCACGAGATACACATCCGGATGAGTAGCGCGATGCAACTCATGCTCGTAGAACGCTCCAGCGACGGATTTTCCGTGATAGTCCTCAAGTAAGTAGGTTACGGGATTAGTACGTTGTACCTTAACGATCGTAAACACCTCGGTGGTCCAATTTGGCGTGTAACCCTTCTCAAAAACCGTCTTGTACTTGCTCACGCGTACCGAATCGTCTACTTTGAATTTTGCCGGACCTACGATCTTTATCGCGCTGTACACTGTGCCCAAGAGTCTTTCGGCGATCGCGGTAGTTACGTCGGCGGGTCGCATGCCGATGGTGCGATGCTTGCATGCGTTATAATTTGACACGAGACGCGGCAGCTCGTCGACCCACTTGTAATTGCCGTTGAGCGTAAACATCTTCCACATGTCGTTCTTGAGCGTGCGATTGAACCGCTCGACTACTGACGCTTTTAACGTCGAATACGTGCAATAGTGATTAACGTCATGTTTTTTCAAGATTTTCAGCACATCGGCGTTGTAAAATTCCTTCCCCATATCCGTTTGTAAATTTTTCGGAGATCTTCCACTCGCTCGAACGATCTCAGCGATAGCGTCCGCCAAATGTTGTCCGCCAAACATCAATCCATCCTTGTGTAGGTAAACGCCGTACACATGATCTATACCGCTCTCATTATCTTGCGCTCCCCGCAGGACAGCCTTGACGTACTTTTGACCCAGCGGACCCAAGTTGGCTCGTAACGCCTCTCGACCTTCCGACGTTTGCAGCTGATTTTGAACCTTCGTCGCTAGCGAGTCTTCCGTCGTTTCGAAAACGTTCTCTAATGACTCTATCGTCGGTACGATTTTGGCACGTGGGGTGGAAGTTATCGGTTCGCGCGATCGATCACTGGATTTATGCAGAGTTGCGGAAGGTTCGAACGTCTCGCTCGCTTCTTCTCCCTCCTTTTGTTCCTCCTCCTTCCTCTCACGTTTAGGGGCAGACGCTGCATCTTCGTCGCGCGACTCTCTTTTTGTCGCGCGCTCGCCGGGGTTATCGGCGAAAAGT